CTACTGGAGGTGGTGGATTCTCCTTCCTTGGAGGTTTTAAGCTGACGTTTCATGGCCATCTATCATGTATGATCTATTTGAGATTCCTGCAATGCAGGAGGTTGGACTAGATGGTCCTCAGGGTCTCTTCCAACTCAACAGTGCTATGATTCCCACTGCACCAGGAGGGAGGGTAACTATTTCTTTGGAGAAACCCACACAGCGCAGGGCTTTCAATGCTATTACATGAGACAAACACGCACAAAAGTGGTTTTCAAGCTGCTAGTGTATCATTTAAATGACACTTCATGGCATGGCAAGAAACCAGTTGAATCTGCAAGTACAGCGATATAAGTGATTGGATGACTAATAATGTACACCGTATGAATGGACTTGATTACCAGTAAAATGCTTATATTTAAGGGATCAGGTCTTAGAACTCTTAAGACTTGAACCATTGAATGTAAGGATTTTACTGGGACTCATGCCATTTATATTGTGTACTGTATATTGCTAGCTCTATACTTAACATAATAGAATGAAAATTGCACAAGTTGAATTTAAAATGCCTTTTCATACACTAAATCTATAATTGAAATTAATACTTCTATATCCTTCTGTGTGGCTTTTTAGAAAGTATTCTTCTTTGATGCTGGGAGCTGTTGTTTCTCAAGGGCTTGCTCAGTTGTTAAATAAAGGCTTAAGTGGCCAGGCTCACAAACAGAACCATTGCTATCAGCAAAGGAGAATGCTCCACATCAATACAAAGTGGCCATGCAATTTTAAAATGACAACAGATGGCTGTTTTCTTCCTTAATTAGTTTCACAGATAATCTTGGACAAAGCATTTATCTGAAAGAAACAAAATAATGCAGGTGTTACTAAGAAGAAGAAGCACTTTTAGTGTTGTTCAGCGCTACTTAGGCCTGTGATTAGACTGATTTCATCATACTGAATAGAATAAAATTTCCAAATGGTGATTTAAATAAAAAATCTATTTCTTTTAGCAAAAGTTTATTAAAAGCAATATTAACTACATGAGTCTAAGTAAATTCTTTAGTAGCTGGCAAAAGGATTATTAGATGTCTCATAGATTTGAAAACCTTTGAGATTTTGCTTTTCAGTAAAAGATTTACTAAAGTTCTACCATCACCATGAAGTTATATTAAATTATTATTCCACCCTGGGGAGAATTTCTCACCCTCATGTAGTCAGAAAACTTGTGTGTACGTGTGTGCACATGTGGTTAAGTATCACAGAGACATTAACACAGCCTGAAGAATTTTATCAACACGTTAATCAGATGTCATGGTCGTTCTAAAAAACAATAACACATGATGAATGTGGCAGCATGATGGATATAGAGAATCTGATCTCTGGGTGTTAGTCTTTTGCAACAGAAACCACAATAGACTTAACATAACATAAACTTTAAATATATAAATGTCTTTATGGAACTATAAAGGCTACAATGTCAAGAACATATGTGCAGGGCTGCCCCAAAGTCTTTCATCTATGGCTAGAAACTGCAAAGGTCTCTGGCTAATTAGCTGCTGAAGATGTTATCTCTCCCACCCACTGTGCCCGATATCCATGCAATTATAGAAAGAAGAAGGAAGAAGTCTATTATTGGCTGCAAAAACTCTCAGGAGCTAGAAACGCAACTTAGCTGTTCACAGATTGTACCTATTTGATAGCTATTTCTGCTTGCTGAGACATCCGTGGTTCAGTCTCTTGCTCTCTGTTCTGTTTTTCTCACTCTCATACATAATGCCAATGTACAGATGAAATATTATCATGTTTTCGTTTTTGCTCAGTATTCTAATGCTTAAAGAATGGAGTGCCATGCCATAGCCTTTTCAGTATGTTTCATCTAGGCAGAATGAACATACTTAGAGGAAATCAGCATCATGGCACTAGACACTCCTACCCTTTATAGGCCCATGTAAGATGTTGAAACAAATACATGAAGTCTCATTTGAAGACTTGGGCACAATCTTTCTCTGTAATGCTCCCCTCCCTCATGAGTTTGTTCTATACAGAAATAATGGACTCATAAGTTATCCATTCAATATTAAATTTCATACTTAGATTTTGAAAAACAAGGAATCTAATTAGTGTCCAGATGCATTATGGAAGATATTTTCATTGAAGGCATCTCTGTACATTTAACCTTAGATGCTAGCATATTATGATTAACAATCAAAAAGAGGCTATTCTAAAAAATGAAGTTAATTAACAAATAACCCACTGGTGACATGAATTACCATTATCTGGTGGTTAACTCTTTCTATTGACAGTAGCCTAAAGAAACCAATTGATTGCATGCATATAATCCCCCCCCCCCCCATAGAATAATAGTGTTGGAGTGTGTCTTTCAGGCCTCTGCTCAAAGACTTCCAGTGAAGGAGAGTCTTGGTAATTGTTTCTATTGTTGGACTTCCCTTACCATCAAAATGTTTACTCCGATGTACTTCAGAAATCTACCCTCTTGTATCTTAGCCGCATTAGATTTAATGCTCTTATTCAGGCAGTAAAGAACAAGTATTTGTCCTCCCGTATGTGACAACTCTTCAAGTATTTTGAGAAAGCTATCATATCCTCCTCCATCTTCTCCAGGCTAATCATACCCAGTTCCTTCAACCTTTCCTCATTCTGTTTCTCATTCTGAAGACCATCCTCCTTGCCCTTGGAGCTATTCCAAAATGTTTATATCTGTCTTACAGTGCAGCATTCTGAACTGAGCACAATTTGACAAGTCTATTCTTGTATACAACCAATTAAGAGATTGAAGGGTTATTTTCATCCCATGCCACCTAGACCGAATGTTCAACATTTCTAAATGGTTGTGTACAAGAGCAGACTTATAAGGGATATATATGCGCATAGATTTTGGCAGCGGCTACCTGCACTTTCTTAAGTTTATTAAGTTTGTTTTGCATATAAGAATGGGTAATTTTCTTGTTATTTTATCTATGAACGTACAGAGTTTAATCACTGCAGCAAAACTGACCATTGACTATATGAAGAATGTAGAACCTATGTTTGCAATGCAATTCTCCCACCAGAAAAATGTGTACAAAAACATTCGTGTTTCAAGAAAGTGTGCTTGAAAAAGAAAGAAAGAAAGAAAGTGTGCATAAAATGCATTAACCAGTGGAAATTGCTTGCAAGGATTTGTATATTAAGGAACATCACACACAAAAATAGAAAAAATTATGTCCACTAAAATGCTGGTGAATTTTTCTTAATGATTTTTTTAAAATAATATTTGTGAACTGATGTGGAAATGTGGAAAAATGAATTTGTGATTGAAAAAAAATGAGAAACTGAAATGGACAGAATTACGTATCCCTAGTAACAGGCTTGATGTACAAGAATAGAAGGAGCAAAAATATATTTTCCTATATTTCTAGCTCTCATTTTATAAGCTTTCCAGACAAGGTGCATTCATCTTTTTGCTAATCAGTGGCATATAATGACCCTTTCCCTTTCTTCTTTATTTAAATATTATGTTTAGGCAGAACTACCTCTGATCAGACAGAGCTGGATTTATTTCAGATAGTGTATTTATGTAGATCAGAGTAAATGAATATACTAGGCAGGATTTATTCAGAGATGTGGATACCATAATTACCTCTCTATATCTCAAAACTGTCTGTAAAAGAGGTCACCCGAATGGGATCAGCAGCATCCATTTGCAGCTTGTAAACAATTTATGTAGCTTTCAGTTGCCTGAAGAAAGTGAACAGAAGTTAATGAAGACATCAGTTGTTTGCATTGTGTCCTAGAACCCAATGGAGACCTGTCCTTCCCATTTTTGCCCTAGCTGAGACTGATGGGTGATTCCCTGGTGGGAACTGTTTCACCTTGTTATTGAATGCATATTTTTTTGTGTTTACCAATAAATAAATAATAAGGTGCCTTGGCAGTGTCCTGGCTTCAACCTGATGAACAACTCAAACTCAGGGTGAGGTTTCTACCAAAATCTTTAATGCCCAGATCAGTGCTACACATGGCTACAAAAGTAAGTTGGATCCTCCTAACAGAGGGTCCATGTTGTGCTCGGCCCTGAAATTCTTCCCTAACTGGCTTGTGGGCAGGGCTTGCCCCGCTCCAAGCAGGTGGTGCCACAGTTATGCCGATGGCCTTTAGCCAATCAGCAGTGTGGCAAGGTTGGGAGTTGGGGGTATCTATTTGGCAGCATGACATAGGGACCTCCTTTTGCTTCGTGCTGCCGAACACCCACCCACCCACCCATTAATTAGGTCGTGTTTGGCCTTGCTTTGGACTTCGCCTGTTTTTGGAATGAGGGCTAGGTAGGAATTTTTTCCAATGTGACAGATTGGCTGTGGCCACTTGGTTTTTGCCTACCTCTTAGCAATCGTCACAACTTTGTAAGGTTTGGCGGTTAAGCATTGGTTTAGGGGGATGTGGGGAGGGTAGGTGCGGCCATCACCTGCCCGTCTAATGAATAGGGTATTACGTTAAAGGAATCTGGGGGTCTGGATCTCATCCGAAGCCCGGAGAGGGGCTAGAGCCATGCCAGGACCCCCGGGAACCCCAGGGATGAGCACCAGTCAATATACACTGACGGAGATCCCCCTGCTGGTTGTTTACCCTTCCAGACTTCCTGCAGGGTGGGGCAGGAGCCAGATATAGTTTGATACCAATGCCTAAGCCAATACCAGTCACATTTGTGTATTTTAATAAAGTTGTGGCCAAAATTTGCCCATTAACATTTAAACTAAATTCTGTCTCCACTGCGTCTTTATTTCTATTTGGGATGGGTTTTGGGGCTCGAAGCACAAATACATTGATTCAACAGTCGCATGCCCCCTGCAATCCTGTGATAAGGGAATGGGGCAGGCTCAACATAGCATGGCAAGCAGTTTTGACCCTTAGATTAAGCAGTCAACCTAGCACTTCACCAAGAAGACTTAGCCTATCTTGTCTGTTCATGCCTGCATTGCTGCCTCTGTGATTTCGACAATGGAGGATGTGCTACTGCCAACTCAGAGACAGCTCAGTTGGTACAGCATGAGACTCTTAATCTCAAGGCTGTGGGTTCGATACCTGTGTTGGATGAAAGATTCCTGCACTGCAGGGGGTTGGACTAGATTACCCTTGTGGTCCCTTCCAACTCTACAATTTTAAGATTCTATAGATGGAACAGGCTAGGCAACCCCCTTTCCTGGAAAGGCAGAGCTAGTCATGGTTTCGGAAAACTCCAGAGGTGTAGCTGATGGTGCAATAGGCAAAGTGGATGAGCCAGAACCTGCCAGATCTGGAGACAGACGTGGAGTCTATGCCTGGTTGTAATGTGAGATGAGCTAAGGAAATTCCCCCACTAGGAACTCCCCCATGATCCTTTTCCTTGGGCTGGTCTGACCTTCCCAGCTTGCTGGACCCCTTTCCATTGGCCACGGCTCCTGGCCTGTCCTGTCCTGGCCAGCCCCCAATCTAGGGCCCATGGCAGGTAGTGAACTTTGTAGCTGAGTTTGCAGTTGCAATTTCTGGACCTAAGTACTGAATTCTAGACACTGCCATATTAAAGCATATCTCAGCAGTGAGTATGCTAATTTCCTTGCCTTTCCTGTGACATGGTAAGTTTTTCATCAGTAGAATTATTTTAATTTGCTGAATACTTTCAAATAAATAATTCCATAGAAAACTGAAATGATTCAGTCAATGTGGGTGAGAGCTGAATCATTTTAGTGGCAAATACCTGAACCAGCTTTAATATGGTGCTTAGAGAAGGACTAGTCACCAGAGGAGCAATTACCTGCAGCAGAGTGTTTTCGAGGATTTAGGGAGCTGGTTGAAAGCAAGAGAGAAGGAGCAGGAGTGGTTCTGGAAGCTATGGAAATGGGAGCAATGATGGGACTACCAGGGTTGTCTATGTAGTGATCAAGATGAACAGAATTTGGGTCTCAGAGCCACAGCTTATGGCTCTAAATACCGTAAGTCACTGTTTCCAGTGGATCTAACAGCCTTGGTTAACAACAGTAACAGAGAAGTAAATATTTATAAGCTTGAAGTAATTGTTCTGCTAAGAGAAATGCAAGGTTTGGTATGCAACTCTCTAGCACAACATACTTAGTTTTGCCTGGTCACATAGAAATACAGAATATTGTCCACTATAAGAAATATTTTTATTGTGACTTTTCCATGATCTCAGAACTGGGTGAGCTAAAATAGCATATAAAAACAAAACCTTTTAAAAACATTAAATGGCCAACTGAAAATATATTTGGTAATGCCATGAGGAAAACAGAAATGCTGTGAACACCTTTCCTAAATGGACAACATGCCTGCTTCAGTTCATTATCAATAATTATTGCAAATCCATTTACTAGTAAACATGCATACATTCCAAGAACAGAATGTTGCATGAAACTATTCAAGCACAGAACTGATTGGTTTGAAAAATGCTGAGATATTATACTTTATTGTTGTGCAACAAAATATATAAAATATCTTCCATGAAACAATGTCCTTTCCACGTGTACATTGTGTACATTCTGGGCCTCTACATCACACCACGATTTGGCAGTCCTTACACAATTCTCTCACTAGGAAAAGCATTTTCTGTAATTATAGAGTATGGAGCAATTACAAAACTCTGTGTAATTACACTTACGAAAGGAGACAAAATAAAAACACTATGGAGGAAGCTTAAAAGGAGCTGAAAGCCTTCTAATAAAGATGCTTAGGAATTGTTGTTGTGGCTCTACAATTTACTAATCACACTGTTGTCAATGGGTGTGGGGTGGGGTGGGCAGACAAGGCTTGCAACAGAAGCTCTCTTCAGTGTAAATGACAGAAAAACATCCCAAATGAGCCCCCTCATTGTTCTCAGGGGGGGGGGAGTTTTTTAAACTCAGGCACTGTGACAACTTTGTCCCTTGTACTTTTTACTACTACTCTAATCCTCCAGTAATTTCAGGGAACACTTTGTATGTAGAGATCATGAGCATACGCCGTTAAAACAAATGGAGGTTGTGCAGCAGTAATGCTTGAACATGACATGGCTCTCAATTTGTGCTAATTTTCCTGTGTATCTGCTATAAGGGATGCGGGTGGCACTGTAGGTTAAACCACAGATCCTAGGTTGCAGTTTGAATCCCCGGAATGTGGTGAGCTCCTGTTGCTCGGTCCCTGCTCCTGCCAACCTAGCAGTTCGAAAACACGTCAAAGTGCAAGTAGATAAATAGGTACCGCTGTGGCAGGAAGGTAAACGGCATTTCCATGCGCTACTCTGGTTGGCCAGAAGCGGCTTAGTCATGCTGGCCACATGACCCGGAAGCTGTATGCCGGCTCCCTTGGCCAATAAAGCGAGATGAGCGCCGCAACCCCAGAGTCGGCCACAACTGGACCTAATGGTCAGGGGTCCCTTTACCTTTATCTGTTATAAAGACAACAACCAGACCAGGCATAGGCTGGCACCCTGACCACTGGTGCTATTAGTTAGGGATGATGGGAGTTGTAGTCCCAAAACATCTGGAGGGCCGAGTTTGCCTATGCCTATGCCTGAGTAAAACCTATACAGAACTTCCCCTCCCTCTCATTGCCTGCCCCTCACATGCTTCCTAGAAATCTGCTCTGAAGGGTAGAGTGAACTTCCAGAAGAGATTTGAGGAGCAAGGGGGGATGAGGAAAGGGAGAGGAGTTCAGTTGCATGGGCCTTGTACAAATTAGGCAATTTTGTACACAACCCGATACTTGTATTATACTCCCAAATATAATGAATCAACACATATAAATAAGAATAAAGCATACAGATACTAGGGGATGTATCCTGGCTTGCTCTGCTCACCAACTCCCCTATCATTCCTCCTATATTAACCTGCTAAGAGTTACCCCTTCTGGAGAACATATGGAATATTGTGGAATAGAATGAAAGTTTATCACTCATTTCTGTGTTATTTGATTCTGGGAAACATCCATTTCCAAATCCCTTAACCTGTAAAATTGTGAGAGTTTTGCATGGCAATTTCCCCAAAATTTTCAGGTTTTTACACCACAGCTGCTCATGTGACAAGCTGTGAGGCGGCATACCAACATGTACTGTGCTCCCCACCTGTTTTTCTTCGTGACAGAATGTGCCAGTATTTTAGCACTGAAAGTAATGCCCAAAAGGTAAAGCCCAGAATAATGGCAGAATGTAGAGGGAGAGGAATGCAATGAATCATGGGGAAACCGCAGCGTAAGTGGAACCAATAACTCTGTTGACATTAGTTGCTTGTTCCTGCTGTGTGAATGACAGTTACTGCAACATGGTGGTATTGCAGTTGAGATTTGATGGAAGAGGTGTGTGCATTGTGAAAGGAAAGATGGAAAATGGAACAGAAGAACTAGCCTTTAATGCAATAAACCCCATGTTACGAATGCAGCCTAAATGTGGATATCTTTCCCTTTATGTGTATAAACATTCATCTTTTCAATTGCTGGAAGCCTTCAAAATCCAGGAAAATGATTATTTTCCAGAAAACGTGATGTTAGTAGGGCCTCAATAGTTTTAGTTCTAATTTTACTTTTATGTTTGCTAATCCACAATCTCAGATCTCTACTTGTCTGTCTTATGAATGCACAACAGAATGATTTGACGCAAAATTAAAAGGACGGCTCATAACAACAAATTGTTTTGGTCAATGAAATATAATAGCATGTCATTTTCTATTAAATGCTTACTGTTGATCCACTGGCATTTTGTAATTGATATCCCAAGATGTAAAATTTATCTGTTATGGGATATGGTTAATCATTCAATGGAAAATATAAAGCTGTACCTTTGGATCTGGCTCATAACAGGATTAGACCCTCTTTTATAAGTGGGAATTTTAGCTGTGGAAAGTGTTGTACACAGTCTTCACAGCTGAAACAATTTACCAATCTTAGAGATAGTAAGGTTTGCATGTAATGTAGTTTATGCAGTTGTGTTGTGTTCTTACTCTTTTGTAAGAGGGACATCTCCCTCTTGTATATGGAAATACATATTCACTGCTGTTATGTGAAAAAAACAATAAATAGGCTTAAACCTGGAATCTACAAATGACATTAGCCAGTTGTGCTCCAGTAACAGTGCCCTAGAACCATTTTATTTGTCATCCATCATACAAAGTAAAGGTTTCTTTTCAGAAAACAAAACAAGTGGATGTTCTCTTTTTCTCTCCTCACCTCCCCACCACAAAAATGCTGTCTTTATTTATGCATTTCTAGTTATCTATCTGTAGAAAGAACAGAGCACTGACCTGTAAACTCACTTATACAACTCCTTTGAAATGAATCATATTTGTTTTATGCCATAGTCTCATTCGCAAATCAGTACATTGCACATAAATACATTTGGGAGGAATGTATGTTGTTTTGTGTGAGAGAGGGGGGCGTGTTGAAACTCTTTATTCATGTTCCTCATGACACACACTCACAACAGAGTCCCAAGTCTATTAAAATAGGCATTTAAAACCTAAAATTTTGGGCCTGGAATGACTTTGACTTATTAGCCTAGTACTAAAGAATGGACTCAGAATGCAAGAGATTTCCTCGTTTTCCTGAGCTGACAGGGGTTTGAAGTGAGCTTCTTTCTCCAGCTGGTCAGAATGGGTCAGATGACACTTTGTGAATGCCTTTGACACCCAGGTTTGCCTTCACCTTTGCTTGGACTTCTCTTATATGTGCATTTCTTCAAGTGTGCCTGCCTGAACAAGATTGGATACTGCTGCTAGTATAAGAAATCTGGGGAAAGTGCTGTGTAATGGTTTTCATTGCATGAAAATTTATTGTACAGTGTGGTGCTGATATGCTACTCCATTTGGGCTATTCACTCACACTGCGGAGAAGATGCAATCTCATTTATCGAATTGGCCTGGGGAACATCCGAACAAATTCAGTAATCAGAAGCTGGGATAAGTGTTGGTGAGTTCACATCATGGTGCAGTCACAAAAAAATGAATGCAAACATTATAAGCTTAATTTGTATTAATGGAACACACACACACACACACACACACACACACACGATAAAATGAATATACCCCACAAGTAACATAAAACTTCTATGTGAATATTCTCTCTTATCTATCAAT